CTTTATAATATATTATAACTGATTACACTAATATCAGTTAAAGTTTTACTCAACGGATATTTATCAAATTACTATTTTTATATGTTTTCGATCTGGGTACTCAAATCAAATATAGTCATATAATGGTAAAACTTAAAAATGCCATTGGTATGATAAAAGAGAAATGGTCATTGGATTGTTTAAAATAATAATCCCTTTAACCATTCTAGTTTAGAGAGGTTGAAGCTTTGTTGAGAAAGTTATATGGAGTTAAGAAAGTTATATGGAGCTAATAAAGACATATGGAATTAAGAAAGTTATGTGGAGTTAAGAAAGTTATATGGAGTTAAGAAAGTTATATGGAGTTAAGAAAGTTATATGGATTTAAGAAAGTTGTATGGAGTTAAGAAAGTTATATGGAGTTAAGAAAGTTATATGGTGTTAAGAAAGTTATATGGAGTTAAGAAAGCTATATGGAGTTAAGAAAGTTATATGGAGTTAATAAAATTATATAGAGTTAAGAAAGTTATATGGAGTTAAGAAAGTTATATGGAGTTAAGAAAGTTATATGGAGTTAAGAAAGTTATATGGAGTTAAAAAAGCTATGTGGAGTTACGAAAATTTTATGAAGTTAAGAAAGATATATGGAGTTAAGAAAGGATAATGCAAAACATGCGAAGCAGTAGAAAGTTAAAAAAATTTTTTTTTTATTGAATGCAAAGCTTTTTGAACACTCCTCGTATTTACAATATCAAAGTTTATTTATGTATATGGCAAAATAATAGTGCAACTTACAGATCGCGATAATGAAAACATTTTTTTACCATATCTTGACCGTGACCAATTATATTTTTGCTTTATAAATCCTCGTTGCGTTTTAAATATTGCATATAATCAAGTTTAGGGTAAAAAAACATGCATGAAGAAGTAAGTGGGGAGTACAGTAAGTACTGAACTGTGAAGCAAACGCATGAGACTCAACTCAGCAGCTTTAATAATACGGATAAAAGCATGTACACTTGCATGTACAAGCTGTCTGAAAAGTACTCCTACCAACAACTACACATGAATCGGCCAAATAAAAAAAATGCCGCGTAAACATGGAAAAGATGTGGTAGGAGAAGATGTCAGTGGAAAGGCCTACATTGCGAGACAAGCAAACATATCGTTAACAATAACACCACCACCACCACCACCCGCGACACTTTACTACTACTACTGCTGCTGCTGCTGCTGCTCGAACAACAACGCAAAGCAAAACAATGAAACGAACCAACAAACAAACACAGTCATCATTCATTTCTCATGTCGCCACTCAGTCGCTCGAGGACATCATTACCATATAATATTGTTCCGTATTGTATGTTTATGTGTGCGAGTATGAACGTATATGTGTGTGTGTGTTTGTTTATATGTTAGAACATACACAGACACTTCAATTTTTGTATGTAAATTTGTTAAGTTCGTTGATTTTTATATTATTTTCTATTGCTGTTGTTGTTGTTGTTGTTGTTGTTGTTGTTGTTGTTTTTGTTGTGTAGCATAAAAGCCTATTCCTGTCGTGCACTTCTCCTCTATTTGTCGCCGTCACAGCAGTCGTCTTCTGTCCAAAACAAAATTTTTCCTAATTTCTGTGTTTTTCACATACAAACGCAACGAAATGAAGCTTTCATTCCAACTGTAAAAATATTGTTGCCGGCTGAGTGGGAACAAAACAACAGTGTTTCGTTAGCTGGCAACGTAGATAGACATAGACGCTTCGTCTGTGAGTTTGTGGGTTCGAATTTGTAAACAGAAATTTTTACGGATATTTTGTTTTATTGAAAATTTCTATAAAAACAATTTTAAAAGTTGAGAATCGAAATTAATATTTTAAGGTGTGTAGAAATCAAAAAAAAATTTGTAAATAAGTCAAAGTTTTATTTGTTTATTCAAATCAAAAAAAAAAAAAACAAAAAAAAAAAATAAACTTGAAAAACGCCGCCAAAAGCGCCCCTTAACTCACACCCTTTTTGCATACCTTGAATATGAGTTTTTAAGCTGTTTTTAGTGTTGTTGTTGTGTGTGTGTGTGTGTGTGTGTGTGAATTTATAATCCTGCGCAGTTTGGATATAGCCAGTGTCATCCTTGGTTGCAATTGCATTTCTTAAATATACACTTCCTGCTGCAAACTGCATACATACATATACGACGGTTATTATGTGAGATTGTGTGTTATGTGTGATAGTGTGTGTTAAGCAAAGTGCTTGTGCAGTCAAAAGTTCATTATCCTTCCTTTGATTTTTACCTTCAACTGCCTTATAGCCTTATAATAAATTCAAAATTTCTTTTAAATATTTTTTAAATATTTTTTTAATTAAAAAAAAACAAAATTAAAAAAAACAAAAAATTTCCTTATAACAAAATTAATCAAAAACTTTTTTCAATATACATATATTAAGCAAAATCAAAACAAAAAGCGTTAAGTATCGAAAGGGTTGCATTTCACCCTCCTACAAATGACTGCATTTCGAACACGCATTCAAGGAATTGCACAAGAAACGCAGTGACTTCAGCCTTGATTCCATTATTGGCAATAAATCGCAGTTCCTCCTGGTAAGCAACAAAGCAACAACCTTTTAAAGTAGCGCACCACTGTCCCAACAACCCATTGAAGAAATGTCTTCAATAATCAAAAAAACAACAAATTCAAGAACTATATGTGAAACGATATGATTTTGATTATATATATATTATTATTATTATTTATACTCAATTGTTTTTGTTTTATTATTCCTGAGATGGGAACCGAACTTATTTACTCTATTTATGTGTGCCTGTCAAGAGTGAATGAAAAAATGAAAGAAAAAAGTCACGCGCTAAATTATACTAAAAATTAAGGAATATATTATTATAAAATGAACATAAGATTAATATTTGAATTGACAATTAATTCCTTAAAAGTTAACGAATAAAAAGTATTGAACCAACATTATAAACACATATAATTCACATTAAAAAAGAATAAACAGATTGTCGACTCTGCTTAAAAGCAGACGAGACTTCCAGTCACATTCTCTGTGACTGTCCATCCGTGATCTGGGCCAGGAAGAGGTCAATGGATCGAGAATTATTTTCCCCTTCTGACATTAGGAAGTCCTCTACGGCTGACATTTGGGCTTTTATTGGACTATAATATCTTCTACTTGGTTAGGAGACGGGACCCTGTTTATTTCTATGCTATTCTATTCCATTCTATTTCTAATATATTCTATTCTATTCTATTCTATTCTATTCTATTCTATTCTATTCTATTCTATTCTATTCTATTCTATTCTATTCTATTCTATTCTATTCTAATTCTATTCTATTCTATTCTATTCATATTCTATTCTATTCTATTCTATTCTATTCTATTCTATTCTATTCTATTCTATTCTATTCTATTCTATTCTATTCTATTCTATTCTATTCTATTCTATTCTTTTCTATTCTATTCTATTCTATTCTATTCTATTCTATTCTATTCTATTCTATTCTATTCTATTCTATTCTATTCTATTCTATTCTATTCTATTCTTTCTATTCTATTCTATTCTATTCTATTCTATTCTATTCTATTCTATTCTATTCTATTCTATTCTATTCTATTCTATTCTATTCTATATTATTATTTTCTATATTATTCTATTCTATATTATTCTATTCTATTGTACTTTATTCTGTTCTATAATTCATTACTTCTTAGCTGTTTTTATTGATCAAAATAACTGAAAGGATCATTTGATATATTTCACATATAGTATTGTTTTCTGTACTACTCTTCACACCGAGATATAGAAAGTCTTTGTGTTTTCAAAATTGGAGCTATCTGGAACTAAATTTTGTAAACACCTGTGACATGCATACTCCGACAGTTTTGAATAGTTGAGACTAATACCTTTGGTTTTTCCCGTGTATTGTTAGGCCTGTTTGTTTATCGTGTTCTTCAATGCTTTGGAGTGTCTATTTCAGTGTTGAAATAGAAGATGTTTCGTATATATTTAAGAGATATGATAATATTTACACTGACTTGAAATATAATTTTCTTTCTGTATTGAGGTTTGCTTTCAAGTCCTTCAGTTGAGACTTAGTTTTGCATTTTTATGATGGTTTTTTTTTTTCATTTGCCACTGTCGTTTAAGTGAACAATAACTTGACATAATTTCTTACTTTAAATTCTTTATAGATCTTTTGATCTTATTAACATATGGCACAAGTCTATAGTTGAGAAATACAATCAAACTTCCATAACTCGAAGTACCATTTTCAAAGAAAAGATTTTGACTTATTGAGACTTCGAGTTAAAGAATTTTTTTGTAATTGAATGTTATTTACCCTCTAAACCTTGTTGTATAATATTTAGTTCGAGTTATAGAAAATTCGGGTTATAGAAGTTCGGAAAATTTGACTGTAATCCCAACCAAATCCAGACTGCAGCACTATAATGCTAATATAATTCTTATAATATAATGCTAATATATCTCGCTTTGGTAGAAGTAAAGAATTTCAATAAAATTTGTTTTTGATTTTTGTTATTGAATACTATCACCTTTTCTATATTCTAATAGAAACACCTATTAAGTTTCTTCTTAACACATTCAAGTGATTTAGACCGAGGCAATTTATTAACTCTTTCTGAGATTTAGATAATGTGGCATGTATTCTAATCTTTATTAAAGCAGAGAGTATGCTGTGTCTCATAGATAATTTCAATTATGTGAGGTATGCAAGAGGTCACCTTAAATTGTGACCAATTAAGAGTTTTCCATTACAAAAAGTCTGATTGAATCACCCTAAGCGATTCATTACAAATTCTTCTTTCGATTAAGCGAAGAAACTTCTAATGCACGAAAAATACTTGCTCAAATAAATTCTATATTTTTTTGGTAAATATATCTGATATAATTTCTGATACTATTTAGTTTTATAATATATATTAATAATTTAAATAAATGTATTTTTAAAATAATTTTATTTATTTAATTTCTTTATTATTTTAGTTTGCTGCTTGGATTGACGCTGTAATCTTCGTTTTCAGTTTAGAAAACGAAGCCAGTTTTAATACAGTCTACAATTATTATACGAAAATGGCACATTTCCGTAATGGCCAGGATATACCCATGATATTGGTTGGTACTCAAGGTAAGTTGTCTAATATTTTCATACCAAATTCACTGCTCGTATTAAAATAGTTCTTTTGAGAGTCCAAGTATATATAATATTATAATACATTTAATATTGCAATGAAGCTCCTTTATTTGTCGAAATTATAAAATAACTGATGTAGTAGTGTAAGATTGATTGATAAAATGGGACTTACAGTACATCTATTGTAATATTTATTTAAATACATCTAACTTTTATGAATATAAAAAATATTACAATCATGTTTATTTTATTAAGTACAAACAGTATTTCGCTGCAATGAAACCATTTTAACCAATATATATAATGAAGCTATTATAACTTATAACACTTATAACTTATAATCATATAAAATTATTATATGACCAGTTTTAAAAATCCAAGGATTTGGGACATTCCAAATAGCTTATTTAAACCAACCAAAACATTGACAGGTATTTGAGCTCAAATTGGTCTATACTTAAATAAATCTCTCACTTCCTAACTGAACATGCTCCTGTTGACTAATTAAAAGACGCTGATACCTTCAGATTGCATGAAATGCAGTGTGCAACTTCTACTTTAATCAGACTACAAATCTAATGTCTCTATGTAGCTTACATTAAACTCAATGGGGTCTTGAATCTCAAACCAAAAGATAAAGTTTTAAATGCATTAATTTATCGATATTAGATTAAGAGATCTTCTTGTGAAGTCCCTCTAGGTGGTGTTCTCCTGTTCTACAACGCACAGAAACCTCCGTTCAAGTGACGTTTGAATTCGTTTCTTCTTATCGACTTGTATATACTTTTATGTCATCCCAGCGAATTACAACAACAACAAGAGACCCGCTCTAAAGCTTACACAATAAATTTCATAGATCGTGATGTTCGATTATCCCTTCTTCCATGGTGTCCATTCTTTTTTATTTGCAAAAATAACTCGTCTTCTATAAAATATAGCAATTGTGTTGTTATGCTTATTTATATATATACAGATTTATAGTGTACATTTAAAGATTATTTTTAAATAATTTTAAAATTTTTCTTTTGTTGCTCTTAGATTCAATTAGCGAACGCAATCCTCGTGTAATTGATGATTCACGTGCGCGGAAATTGGCGAACGATCTAAAACGCTGCTCATATTATGAAACGTGCGCCACCTACGGCTTGAACGTAGAACGCGTTTTTCAAGATGGTAAGGTTTCTTATTCTGCAGTCGTTATTGTGAGTATCGAGTTTTTCATATCAAACCTTTCTTTCATTTTTAATAGCTTGTCAAAAAATACTGCAACAACGCTTACCACTACCGTCATCAGTTTCGCGACCAACTACACCACAGGGTACACGCTTAGGTATAGCCTCTTTTCATCACAATACAAATCATGGTGGCGCTAATAACTCTAATGGATTTACATCGTCAACATCATCGGTTCAAGGTGCAGTCTCTACGGGTAATTTGACATTACCACATCGTCATCATGTGCTCTCGACTTCTTCGCATCATATACCAATGCGCATGAGTGCCGATTTCGCGCACACTGAACAACAGCATAGTTTGCCACCAAATCAAAAAGTTTGGCATGGTCATTCACAACAATTGCAGCGAGAACATGCAATTATGAATGAAAATAATAATATAACCAAATTTAATCCGGCTCAACATGCCACCCAGTCACACCAACAAACCCAGCAACAACCAAATTCAATGCAACAATCAACTACAGAAAATTTGGCTCCCCTCTCACTTGTGCCACTACGTGAATCGAAGGATAATAGCAGCGGTGGCGGCAGTAAAGAACTACCGACACCGACCTCAACACCCACTACGTCTCGAAAGAGTCGTCGACGTTCAAATCTCTTTATACCATCATCGAAAAAAGGTGAGAAGGATATGAAGAATGGTGAATTGGGTAGCGGCCGTTCAATACCAATCAAACAAGGTTATCTCTACAAGCGTTCGAGCAAATCATTGAACAAGGAGTGGAAGAAAAAATATGTCACACTTTGCGATGATGGACGCCTGACGTATCACCCTTCATTGCATGACTATATGGATGATGTGCATGGCAAGGAAATACCATTACAGTATGTCACCGTGAAGGTTCCAGGCCAAAAGCCACGCGGTTCTAAATCAATTATTACTAACAGCGCGCTCACTACTTCAATGCTATCGAACGGTAAAGGACAACATCAACAGCAACAAAATGGACTAAGTGAAGGTATTGGTTGCCTCTCACTTGTCAAGGATAACAAAAAATTAACCGAAAAAGTTTTGCTCACCGCATTTGATACATTACGTGAACCGGTCAAGTCAAACTCATCACAACAGACAAGTGGTGATGAAGGCATTGCTATGTCCAATTCAAATTCGCAAACTTTTATTGGTAGTGACTCACAGCAGCAGCAGCAACGGGAACTGCTCTCAGTTAATGCTGCCAACAAACTAGAATCTCAGACACCAAATGTTAAGAAACGGCATAGACGCATGAAGAGTAGTAGCGTAAAATCGAATGAAATCGATGATTCCGATGGTTATGAGTTCTTTATTGTTTCATTGGACTCAAAGCAATGGCATTTTGAAGCAGCCAATTCGGAAGAACGTGATGAATGGGTAGCAGCAATTGAGCAAGAAATTTTCAAAAGTCTACAAAGCATTGAAAGCACAAAAATGAAACCGGCGACAACAAGTGAATTGGCAGCGATGGTGGCAATAAGGACACGAGTAGCAGGCAATGGTAATTGTGTGGACTGTAACGCTCCAGGTATATAAAGAACTTTAACATCTATCAACACTTATTTAAAAACTAATTTTTTTTTCCAAATAGGTCCCGAGTGGGCAAGTTTAAATTTAGGTGTGCTAATGTGCATTGAATGCTCTGGTATACATCGTAATTTAGGCTCACATATATCGAAAGTTCGTTCGCTGGGTTTAGATGATTGGCCGTAAGTTAAAAATTCAGTTAAATAATTTTAGAGTATAAAAAAAAATAACGTAAATTATATATAATATATGTATATGTGATGGTATAGTTACTAGAATATCAATAAAATTAAAAATCAGTAGTTAGTTATTCAGACCTACTTATAGTATCAGACAGCTAAGTTGTCATAAAGTCCTAAAATTTGATTCAATTTACATCGCTCAACAAAATATGGACATATTCTTGGGTTCCTAATTACAGGGACATTACAGGCAACACCCTTGAAACATCTGAAATATTTGTGCATAGAAATCGGTAGCAATATTTTCGAAACAATTATATTATAAAAGACGCAAATAAAATATTTTACAGAACGACGAAGTTAATGTCATAGATCGGCAACAGCACGAATTGCCAGTCTTTTTTAAAATATTAGTCAGTAAAGGTTGAATATTATCTGAAATTAGTGTTTCCAAGGGTTCGAGCATTATAATACTCCAGTACGCTTGAACTCAAGCATTTAGGTCGAATAAATTGTATGTTCAAAAGGCGTTACTCTATTTTTTTATATATTCTAGAGATATATAATATTTATAATATATAATACAGAGACAGAGATATATAATATCTCTGTGTAGAAGTGTTGGAGTTCTTTTGCCTAGATTAGTTTGAATGAACACATTCCCACATACTTATTTTTCTACCAGTCTTCATAATTCTTATTCTCTCGTATTTCTTCACCACACACTCCATTCACACCTAATTAGTATAGTCTCTGTATAAGAGTGAAGTTCTTTTACCTAGACTCCTTCCTTATTTATTCCTCCTTCCTAATTCGTGTACGCGTCGTGCAATCAAAAATGTGTCCTCCTTTTTTAATCCTTCTGGATTACGACAACAACTTAACCTAAACATTATTATTATTATTGTTAAGGGTATGTGGCACTGCGACCGTTGGGTCTATTGTGCTCTCTTTTGGATTTAGAGTAAATCTCTGGGCCGTGTTGCGTCAATAAATAGCAGTATAGAACCTACTTTACAGAGTTTTATTGCTTTTTCCGCAAGAATATACAATTCCAGGAGCCTATTCCGCTTGTGCATTAGCGCAGGGCATTCTAACTGCACATGTGTGACAGACTCCTCATTGTTTTTACAAAATCTAAAATTTTCATCCGTCTATATACCCAGTCTCGTTAGTTGATATTTTAGTTTACAGTGCGCTGTTAGGATTCCTGTGATGTTTCTAAGTGTTTCTTTTGATAGATTTATACAATCCTTGTATCTCTCTTTTTTATAGGTACCAATAAGTGATTTAGGTTTTGGTAATCCTAATCCTTCAGTAATCCTTTTTATTCTAGTTCTCTGATTATTTTTATGAAAGAAAGGAGTGGACTATGTCCTAGTTCACAGAAAGGTTCCGGCCACATCATAGGTGTGGTTGCTCGTTTCTTTGCTAGTTTGTCTGCGTATTCGTTCCGCGTACGCCAGTATGTCCTAACCTAAACATACTATTTAGCTAAAAAATTTTGCTTTTTTTTAAATTAAAAAAAGCTTAATTGAAAATAAAAAACTATATTTAATTGAATATTCAACATGTATTAAATAAATACTCTCCCAATGAGATTAAAAAAAAATTAGCGGATCTAGTCAGACCAAATATAATTTTTGATTATAAAAAAAATAAAAAATTGTTTTTTTTTATTGGAGTTTTTCGAATAGCAAAGAAAGAACTAAAGTACAAACACAAAAATTTATTTTTTAATTTTATTGAAGTTCGGCTGACCATACAACGCTGTTTCGAGTATTGCCAAGTACTCTTCATCAGTGGTCTTTGGAAATAATCGAATTTTATTTAATTAGTTTATAGTCCGTATATAATTTGTTTGGACTGCAAGTGCCAGGCTTAGAACTCGTGCCTGTCAAATTAGAAGCGATGACTAATCGTGTTTATCCACAAGAAGCCAAAGCTGCACAAACTTTCAATGCTCAAGTTCCAGGTTTTATTGTCACTTATTTTTATTTAATTAGTGACAACAACCAAAGCACTTGCCGTGCTTTAAATTAGAACGAGCTTATAAACTACAGCTTTATTTTTTTTATTTGAATTAAAAACAAAAAGCATCGACCTTTATGCAGTGCTGAGGTCAATTATTGCTTAGTCTGATGAAGTGATAAAAAACAATCCAGTCAAGGCGTAGAGAGGGGTTGTGAAGAAACCTCGCACTTAATAGAGAGTAAAAGTGCTCAAGTGCACTGACTCAACCTGCCTCAACATAATAATTTATTTCGATTTAAACTAAATAGATTTCTATATTTAAACAATTTACCAAAATAATTTCTATTTCTATTTAGTCCTGGCCATCTAAATGTTATGTTAGCTATTGGCAATAGTTTGGCAAATTCTGTTTGGGAAGCGAATACACGTCAACGTACAAAACCAAAACCTAATTCTGCTCGTGAAGAAAAAGAGGCGTGGATACGCAGCAAATATGAGGCTAAAGAGTTTTTGGCTATGTGCAATTCTAATACAAATGCAACGCCGGGACAGCAATTAATTGAAGCAGTTATCAGGTACGCCTCAATCAGGAATTAAAGAATTTTTTTTGGTTAATGTTCTAATGAATACTCTTTTATCTTACTTAGATCCGATATGAAGTCAATTGTTTTGATACTGGCCACAGCTGGTAACAGGGAAGTGACCAATGCCAATGTGAGCTCACGTGATGTGCGCACACCACTTTTGCTGGCTTGTGCAATTGGAAATTTGGCTATAGCACAGCTTTTAATTTGGGTAAGATTTTATTTATATTCAAAATTAATTATTTATTATAAAACTAATTTAACTATTGTACACAGAATGGTGCCAATATAAAACATACCGATCAAGAAGGTCGCACTTGTTTGGCTTATGCACGTGCAGCACAATCTTTGGCTACAGCCAAATCATTAAAAGCTGCCGCCGCTGCTACCGCTGCAGCACAACCACATAACACAAATACCAATTCAAGTAGTGCTAGTAACGCAAGCTCAACATCATCTTCATCGGCTACAGCTACAGCATCCGTTTCAGCCACTGGCTCATTGTCAGCTACGAACACAACAAGCTCCAACTCCAACGCCACGGCAAATAGCATCAGTAGCAATGGCATACCAGCACCACAATACAGCGTTGAGGAGACCACAGCATTGGTTGAATTACTGACGGGTTTAGGCTGCCCAGAATCGGCACCGCTAACAGCGAGTGGCACATTGCCGAGACGACGAGATACTCTCGGCACGCCATATGAAAAGACGGTGTCAGGCGTTATTTAAAGATAAAGAGTTTTATAAAAAAAAAAAATTTAGTTAAAATGAAAAATATACAAATATAATAATATTAAATATTTATAGTCATTAGTCAGCGTACTAAATAAGTACTAAAAAGTACTAACAAAGTACTAAATAAGTACTAAAAGTGTACTAAATAAGTACTAAAAAATATAATTAATTTAAAATGTAACAAATATGCTTGAAATATTAACTAATATTACTAAAGATCTGTACTAAAAAGTACTAAATTATTTATTTTATAGCAAATTTTCATGTTGTTTTTTATTTTTGTTTGTATTTTTTATGTAAATAAAAAAGAAAAAAGAGAAAAGTAAAAGAAACGCGCACTTCTAAAGCTAACTTTGTTTGTGTGTCGTGTCTCATGTGTAAGAATTTTAATTAACTTATAACGTATAACATTCTGTATTGAAAATATAAAAAGATAATGTTTTTAACTAAGTCGTAAAATACTGTTAAAATTTTCATTTAAACAATTTAAAAGATTTTAAGCTAAACGTTAAGCCTTTTAGTTTTGTTATATAAATTTTATAAGTGTAGCTGGCCAAGTTAAATGCATATATAGTCCAGCTGTTTCCTTTTAAATGTAAACTGTATGTATGTAAAGTGTCTGTTTGATTTTTATTAAATAATATTGATATAATATAAGTTTTTTGTTTTAATATTTAATGTTTAATGTTTACATTATGTATAATTCTTAAAGGAACATAATTTTAAGTAATGAATGGCTTATAAAATGCTTATATTATATATTACGCTGGTATAGTCCAAACTTATATACATATATCCTAATATGGTTTCACCAATTCCGTTACCAAATTTGATTATAGTTGTATTAATTTTTTTTTTTTTGTTTTTTCAATTTTAATATTTTTAAAATATTTAAAGTATAATAATAATATTATAATAATATTTTTGTTTTTGTTTTTACAACAATAGTATAACATATGTCATACAATTTAATTATAAATTGAAACGTAATCTCAATAGTGAAGGTATTGTTTTTTATTTTTCTGTTTTGTTTATAAAACTTAAATTGAATAAAAAATTCAATATTAAAAAAATTAAATCTAAAAAAATTTTTATTTTTTTGTTAAAAGTACAAAGCGAGTTTTGAATTTATACTGGAATTTTTTTTTTTCACCTCCCAGACTTATATTCATCTGTCTATTTTGTTTTTGTGGTTACCTGTATTGTGTCTAAATAAAATCGTATAAAAATATGTATAATTATTTGAAAACTAAATAGTCGCCCTTATGAAACGTGGAATAACATTAGCATGACTTTCTCACTATTACGTACCTAGATCACGTTCTATACATAATAAATCATGCAACAAATAATGTGTCTACAAATAGAATAATATTGAAATTTACAAATAATAATAAAAATATAATTAATTAACTCACACAATTATACTACAAAGTGAATTTGTTAATAAAATCTTTCACAGCAAATTAACAAAACTCCAGAAAAATGTGCGAACATAAAAGTCAAGTACGGCTTTGAGTCAGTTGTTTAAGGTGCGCTGACTCTGAGCTTCAAATTTAGCAGGGTGCGTGTTCAATACTTGGTACTTGCAGACTCAAAAAATTATTTACGAATAGTTAAATGCAAGAATTATTTCCAAGACAACTGATGATGGGTATTTGGCAATACTCGAGACAGTTGTATGGTCAGCCAAAAATTCAATTAATTAAAATAATATAAAATGAATTTTTGTTGTTGTAGTTCACTATTGTTCGAAAAACCTCTTTATGAAACTAAATATATCCAAAAATTTAGTAAATATACTTCATAGGTTCAATTTTACAAAGCACATAATTGTTGGTTTAATACAAAAAAGCAATTTTTTGAATTTTAAAAAACCTTTTCTACCCAACTTTTCTAACCAACTAATTGTAAAAGTGGTTGTAAATTGTTTACTATATCTTAAAGTCACTTATCTAAATATTTACTAAATATATACTAAATTTTTCAATGCACATTTAATTGTTGGTTTTAAAGTGTCATTTATTTAAGTTTTAAATAAAACTTTAGTAAGCAATATCAAACATTTAACTTGTCTTAAGTGTCTTAAGTTGTCTTAAGTTACTTGTCTTAAGTGTGTATTGTAAAAGTAGCTTAAAAATGATTTACTCTTAAAAAATGAAAAAGTTTTTTATTATAATTTAAATTTCAAATTAAGGTCTTTCATATTTCTGGATCTTGGAACTTTAAAAACTATTTATAATAGTTCAAAATTCTAAGCATTTTTAATGCTTTTCTACTTTTAAGCATTTCAATATCTGACTCTATTATAGCAATCCAATGGGTTTCAAGAAGACATAGACCTTATGTCTCAGAACTTTTCATCTTCCTATATGAAGAATCTAGGCGTGTCTGTATAGCCATTTACAATTTTTCCAATTTTTTTTAATTAACCCTTTAATAATATGAATAATACTAATAAAAATTTAATTAGAATTTATTTTATACAAATTATTTATATAATTGGAAATTATTAATATTATATCTTTAAATATAATTTTTGTATAGTTATATATTTATTTATTAATATAATTAAACTTCACCGCATTTACTACTCAAGCATTCGGCTGATTTTATATATACTTAATATCTAATCCGATTAGTCAATTTTCGTTACATTAGCAAACTTACGAGTATAAATGATAACAATTACTATATAACATAAATAAAAGGGAAATATCTTTCAAATAATTTTTTTATATTTCCATTAAAAAATGAATCCGGGGAGGGATTGTTTAAATTAACAAATTTTTACTTTTAAATTTCAAATCGTTTATAATGTGTACAATATATATATAACATACTGCAGTAGTACAGAAAACTAAACCCAAAAATATATATTGTTGTTTATGTATAATATAGAAATAAAAGGAAACCAGTCTAGATTTAAATGAAAACGAAATTTATGAAGAAGGTATTAAATAATGTATATAAAATGACTGATTATTTAAGGTTTCTTCACTTTAAAACTTGGATGATATTAGATTTTATATATATGAAAAATATACAAATCTTATGGACAATTCTTAGTCACTTAATAATATATATTTACAATAATATATGTTTGTATGCCACTTTCTTTTTTAGAGAGAGAGAGCCAAGTCATTATCTATCAAGGTTTTTTGATTTCACGGCTAGCACTTCTTAATCGTCGATCGACCGATTCGAGTTTTAAAATATTATATATTTGTTTTTAAAAAAATTTTCAAAAAACTACTGATGATAAATTAGATATATTATTTTCATTTGTTTTTTACTAACAAAAAAAAAAATTTATAAAACTTATCTTATTTTATTTTTTTTTTATATTTAATATTTAATATTTTTCTGGTTCAGAGTAAATTGAATTCATTTTTAATATTTCGTTGTAATAGCAATTATACTAATACAACAACTGTTTTTTATATACATTATAATATACAACGGAAGATCTGTTAAGCGCATATGGATATGAATTAAACTAGTTTCACTGTACGTTTAAGAGAGCTCTTTACTTAAAGAATCATACTTTGAATAACAACTAAAGTCTAGTAAATATTGCACGATTAACAGAAGTATTCGTTTATGAAAGCGACTACTGCACAGAATTTTCATAGTGAGGTTTCGAATAGTAGTGAACTACAACAACAAAAAATTTTTTATATTATTTTAATTAACAAGACAAGAATTTTTTGCTGACCATGCAGAATTTTCATAGCATGATAAGACCTGTAGTGATACAAATATAAAGAAATGTGAAATGGTTGAAATCCTAACCTCATACTCAAGACAAAAAGTGTTTCTTAATAAGATTAGGACCAACAATGACAGCTGTTAATGTTTAAATAATTCTATTATTGTTAATGAGAAAGAATAATTCACTTTTTAAATTTATTTTTTTATAATTGAGAGGATAATAGAATCTTTAATAGCAATAATTAGTATATACATTAGTATATACTTTAAATATTTTAAATCTCTTTTTACAAGCCCAGTAATAATATCGGCGGAGTACTTTTTATTTTAATTTATTTATTTTATTTTAATTTGTTTTATTTTATTTTATTTTATTTTATTTTATTTTATTTTATTTTATTTTGTTTTACTTTATTTTATTTTATTTTATTTTATTTTATTTTATTTTATTTTATTTTATTTTATTTTATTTTATTTTATTTTATTTTATTTACTATTAAATTAATCTTGATATTTCACGGAATTTATATTAACTCTTTAAAAAACTCTTTAAAAAACATTTATAAATATTTGTGTATACAAATATTAGTTGTATATAATAACAAAAATATATAAACTGTTGTAATATATATATACATATGCAATACGGTATTACATATGTATATATAAAGATATCATTGAGACTTGAACCCAATAAAAACACCTCTTAGGAATGAATAGAGAAGATTTCCACGGAATTGAGGAAATTTCATTCCAATAATCAGGGGAGAGAGATGTGAACATGAATATATAGAAACATCAAAATTTGTTATTTTCTGAATAACACAAAGATTTAATTATATATATCTATAATAAAAAATTTTTTTTCTTAAAGAAATATAAAATCTTTTTAACCATATTGCACTAAGGACAAAAAAAATTCTACTGAACATCTCCTGAACATTCAGATAAAATATAAATCAACTCGTCTTTGTACTTTAGAGTTTCACTACAAATTTAATAAAATAATACTTTAAAATTTTTAGTTTTTATTAAAGTTTAATTATAATTAAATTTGTTTATTAATATGATATTAAGAGAACACTGAGTGTGAGAAGAGTATTAATATTAATATTAAAAAACAGAAAACAATATAAAATATGTATTAATATGTATATGTATAATTTAACTTTATATAACATTAATACATGAAATATATATTTCATTCAATATAATATATATTTGCATATTAGCTCCAAATAATTTATATTAGAAGAAAATATTATTTATATTACAATAAAAATATTACCAAATATAGACTTACGTACGCAACTTGCTTATTTAAAATATTTAAATAAAAA